TCTCATAACTGTCCTCATTTCTTCTTCTATTAATAGTGCTACCCCACCACCTTTTCCATCTTTCCTGTCTCTCCAAAAGGTTAAATATCCCTGAATGTTAAGTTCCCAGTTTTGATCTTCTTGTATGAGTAGGAGGTCATAGCCATTTACTTCGATGCGTGCTATCAGTTTGTCTACCCTATTCTGAATGTTTCATACATTAAGATACGAAGACTTTTAAAGTTTGTTCTAGTATTGAATTTCCCTAATCACAGATAGGAGACAAAAGCCACGTACTAGGAACACAGATGCCTTAGATTTGACACACTGGTGTAATGTGGCACTTTGTAAAAATTCAATTGAATCTTTTAATCTGTTGTTCAGTCACAGCATTCCAATATCAAACGTTGTTGTACCAATTCAGAACAATGATAACACTCTGGCATTTTCCTGTGAGTGTGCATCAAGCTATGATATAACTACCAAATTAAGATTCCAATGAAAAATCAGACCGATTGTTGAAATGTCCTTTGTTATAATTCAAATTACACAAGTTGTGCCACAAGCCTAGGGTTCTTCAGGAGGGGATATTGTCACAATCCTTTTAAAACAATTAAAAAGCATTGATTAAATTAAACAGCCATTTGTGTTTCTGCCCTAAGGAAATTTCTCATGATATCATTAAAGCCGAGTTATTGAACATGGCAGTGCCAGGAAGCTGAATTAACAAACACTTAAATTACAAGGCACCCCTAGGTCAAATGGTCATACTGCTAATAGGAGTAGTAACAGGTTCCTTCACATTATTATGTATAGTAACTCTTTTGTCTTACTTTTTCTGAAGAGGTCATCAACATAAACTATATAAAAGGGGCAAAAATAATCAAAAAAGCTGATCAAGGAAATTAAGTGTTCTACCTTATAGGGTTACATACGGTACTCTTCTTTAATAGAAACAGATTTGAAAAATGTACATGGAATAAAACAAACAAGAAAACCGTCAACAATTTTGCAGAAAAAGCTAGCAATGAGAAAGCAGGACAGGGTTTATTTAGATCTAAATGAATTCTACACACTGGACCAGTGCCGCATGAAGCCAGCCCACTCTAAGTCTGTTGAATTAAGGTAAAATTGTCAGCCTCAGGCCATTTTCCAAAGGGAGTGCACTGATGTATAAAAAGGCCAATGTACTACTGGTATCCTGTTTCATGTTTCTGAATAGCTGCTGCTTTCACATCTGAACTTTTTGTCCTCTGTACACCTGTAGCAGATAAAGAACATCAGACAATGCCACTGCAAATCACACAGTTAATTTAACAAAATCACACTGTTTTGCTGTGTTTAACCCTTCCCACATTCACCTCTGAACAAGACATATCCTTATACCACTGGATTACGCAGGTTAATAACACAAACCAGAAATTCTTACTACACATATATTCTGATAAATGATGAGCTTTGATTTTGAGAAGTCACGAAAATTCAAAACTTCGAAAAGGATAATGCTCAATTTATCTGAAGTCTGTGTCATAGTTAGTACAGCAATGATTAGGTAAAATGTAACGGCATGGGTAGCACAATGGCCCAGTGGTTAGCATTGCTGCCTCATTGCACCAGGGACCTGGGTTTGATTCCAGCCTTAGGTGATAATCTGTGTACTGTACACACATGAAGTTTGCACATTCTCCCCTTGTCTGTATGGGTTTCCGCTGTGTACACAGCTTAGGTGGATTAGCCATGATAAATGTGGCTTTATGGGGATAGAGTGGAAGCCTGGTTCTGGGTGGGATGCTTTTTGGAAGATTGGTGCAGTTTTGTTCGGCCAAATTGCCTCTTTCTGCACTGTACGGATTCTATGATAATTTTCTAGTGAATTTACACTTACAAATTTATAATATCTAACATCAAACATTGATCAATGAAACATGGCTTCAGCCCTATCTTGAACTATTTTTCAATTCAGTAGCCTTTGCAAATTTCTAGTTTTAAGCAACAAGGGTAGATATACTTCAGAAGCTGGTGAATCTTTGAAATTCTCTACCCACAGTGTAAAATTAAGTTCAAGGCAGAGTTTGATAGACTTCTAATTACTAATGGCATCAAGGGATATGGAGATATTATGGAATATGGTGTTGAGGTAGCTGATCAACTTTGATCTAGAATGGCAAAACAGGCTCGAGGGGCTGAATGGCCTACTCCTGCTCCTATGATGTTCCTAATTGAAGTGCAGCAAGCATATTATCATTACTTTTGATCTTATTTTTATTATGGCATCATGCAGGCTTTCATTAATATGGGGAATGACAGCTACTAGACGCAATGGAAGTTGATTAATGAATCTTCCATTCCCTCTGAACTTGCCCATCTTAATTCTTCCAAGCATCAAAGAGGATACGGTACTCACTGATCTTCCCGTACCCAAATCCCTCATGTCATGAATCACACTATCATTACATAGTGCAATTCATCATAGGGCCTAAAAGCTGTGCAAATTCTATTGCCTCTTACCTGCAGAACCTATAAGCTTCTGAAACCCAATCATAATGTCTCCCGTCCAACACTTCACAATTTACAAAACGTCTGTTGACATCAACGCTCTGATGATAAATTCCGACCATGCCTCTCCAATTTTCATTTTAGTTGCACATGTGCAATATAAAGCAAATTTTCAAAAAGGCTGCATTTGCTGACACCAAAGAACATTCCTGGTAGCAGTGAAATTTCTGAAATAAATTTAAGAATGATAAAAACCTAACAAACCCTGAGGCTTTGCCTGAGGTGGTCAAGCCAACAGCAGAGGTTTTATAGAGATAACAAGGTGTAGAGCTGGATGAACACAGAGGTTTTATGTTCTTGGGACAAATCATCTCTGTCTAATCAGCTTCCCTGAGCTCTCACATTAGTGTTGATAACTTAGCAACTGTCAAAAGACAACCACTGGTTAGAATTATTCTGCATTTATCGCAGCAACATTTTACAAGATGTAAGGCTTAAAATCAGACAATCAGCAGATTCTTGCACCATCATGATAAAAGAAAGATACTGCAGACATTTCTTCATCTGGAATAAGAATATTTCAGTTCGAAAATAAGTCACATCAAACTCAAAATGGTAACTCTGTTTTTCTCTGTCCACAGATGTGGTCAGACTAGCTGAGTTTCAACAGCAATTTATTTTCATTTTTGACCATCATCTTGCACTCAGTACACTATAAGAAAAAAGTCTTTGTAATTATTGCTAAATTCAAGACAAGTTTTCTCCAGTTGTGGCAACACTATTATTCCTAATATGTCACAACGTAAAATCTGCCTTTAGTGCCCTTTACTCCCTTCCTCAGCACCAACAGTATGCCCACTCCCCCAGACCCTGCAGTAACCAGCATAATTTATAAGTAGGTCACTTCACAATTACTATGAGAGTTTTTGCTCAGCTATGGTCACCAAGTTGGAGTTGATACCAAACCAAGACAGGCCACCTGCCAAAGGAAACTTTTTCTTTTCAGTTTTGGTCTGCAAGATCTACATTAGAAATAAAACAATTTCACAAACCATAATATCACACTCAGTTAGGTCAGATTTCATTAATACGCATCCTTAAACGGTTTTCTGAAGATGGTGCACAAAAAACCTCAAGTGGTTAAAAATAAATTGAAATTCTTACTCAAAAAATATCATTTAAATCTTGGCACCTTGTTTTCAATGATTTTCTCATTTACAAGGAAAGGTGGAGAAAAGGAATTCAGTTCCCATTTGCAAACTGGAATGCTCCAATCTGTTGCCAGGATTTGCAGTAAACTACCATTTGTGAAGAGGGTTTAAAATGACAAAAAAAAAGGAGTGAAGTGACATTGTCCAACATTATCAGAGTAAGTGGTGACTATGATAATTGCGGTTAATACTTCCTTCACACCCTTGGCCAGCAGTGGAATGTGACCTGACTCCATCTAGAGAGCTGGGTCTGCAAAGAACAAAGAATTTAACAAAATTTCATCTAGCAACTCATTTAGTAAATTCAATCAAAATTGTCCAAAATTGGAAAATTAATCCCAAGAGGCAGTCGTACATGAGAATGAAATAAATCACTTCAACCCTGGATTGCTTTGGGGAGTGAAAAAGTATTTTGCACAACCGAAAGCATTCCTATTCATTAGCTCCTCCAAAATTATCCTTTCAACACGCTAAATAATCCTCAGCAACAAAAATCTTAAAGCACCTGGCTGACAAGGTTTCTTTCATGTACATTAGGATTAAAAAAACTGGCACCAACAGGTCCACCTCCTTTGGAAGTTAACTATTATGTGACTGTTGTGGGATCACTATCACAGGATCTGGGCCTCAGCCTTGAAGTAAGCAGATTTCAAAAGAAGCAATTTCATCTCAAGGATTCAAGTTGATCCCCAAAATCAGAGATGTAACGTATTTCTGCATTACCAATATAGCATTGTAAAAGTCATGTGAATTCTTGTCTCGAGAGAATGGAAATACCAACAATGGAGGTTTTGTGCCTGCAGGGGTGTTTAATGGGTTAATTTCCCAGGTGGAGTAATTAGATATATTTACCCCAGAAGGGAAGCAAACCCAATAATTCACCATTACTCATATCAAATGAACTACTTTCACATATCTACTTACATGCTAAGTAACCATTCAGAATTATTTTTAAAAGCAATGCCTTCCTACGCCAAGAGCTAAAGCAATAGTTACAAATCCTTACAATGTATTACAAGAAAACATATTACACGACCCTTAGCTGTTGATGAACCACAGCATTTGTTGTTTATTTTATTAAATTGCTTTCAATTGCAGAACAATGTTGCATGTTCATGCAGTAATGAGACATCAAAGCTCATCCTACTGCTGTTGTTCTTACAACATAGAAGTTAGTTATAATAGGGAAAGTAAATTGTTTTCATTTCACACTTTAGAAAACAAGAATCAGCCAAATTTGTCATACAAATTGCAAAGACCAAATATAAGAAATAATATGTACTAAAGTCCAAAACTGGTAGCTTCTCAACTCACCTGACTGTTGATTTCAGCTTTTTGTTGGAGCAACATACCAACCAGATCTTTATGTCCTCGATCACACGCCCAATGTAGCAGGGCTCTTCCCTATATAAAGGGATTTAAAGGGAGGTATTTAGTGTTAGCGAAAGTTTATTTATAGACATTCAATTATCAAATCAGCACAAAATCATAATTCCGGAACAACAAAAACCAAAGTGTCAGCATTGATCGGAGTTTTTTTTTTTAAAAATAGAACATGGAACATAGAACAGTACAGCACAGTACAGGCCCTTCAGCCCATGACGTTGTGCCAACCTATTATCCTACTAAGATCAATCTACCCTGCATAGCCTACATTTTACTATCCTCCATGTGCCTATTCAAGAGTCACTTAAAAATCTCTAAAGTATCTGACTCCACTACCACTGCCGGCAGCGCATTCCACACGCCCACCACTCTCTGTGTGAAGAAGCTACCTCTGACATCTCCCCTATACCTTCCTCCAATCACCTTAAAATTATGCCCCCTCGTAATAGTCATTTCCGCCCTGGGACAAAGTCTCTGACTATCTATGCCTCTCATCATGTTAACTTTTGCAAGGATTTGTTCATAGTGTTCTACACAATGCCATATTCATCCCACTTATAATTATTAATGTAGCTTTGGAATTCACAGCACACTTAAACAGCAAAGCTAAATTCTCAGAGCTCACTGGAACGTGCATTTTTAGACTGGTGTGGTCAACAGCACAATATTCCAAAATGTAAGGCAGCGTAGTGAACAAACTTGCTGAATATATTGATGGAAAATTGGATCTTGAAACTTTAAATACATCTTTCCCCTTGTCATCTTTTTGAAAGATGTACAGAGCTGACGGGCAACATTATTAATTCTGTGCAAAGTTCTCCTGTACTTTAACATAAATCACTAGTATACCAAAAAGAGATAACTGGTAATCTTGACAATCCTGTCAAAAGTGTGAAGGGGAATTAGTTGGTGAGTTTTTATTTTAAATTCATGCTGCAAAGTGCACTGCAGCAACACAGTCAGGCTCCTTTGACAGGATCTTCTCAACACATGGTATCTACCACCTAGAAAAACATGGACAGCAGATGCTTGGGAATTCCTCCAGCTGCAAGTTCCCTTAAAGCCGCACACAATCCTGACTTGGAACTATATTGCCATTCCTTCATTCTGCCTGGGTTGAAATTTTTTTTTAAATTCATTCGCGGGATGAGGGCATCTCTGGCCAGCATTTATTATCCATCTCTCATTGCCCAGAGGATAGTTAAGAGCCAACTACATTTCTGTAGGTCTGGAGTCACATGTAGGCCAGGCCAGGTAAGGATGACAGATTGCCTTCCCTAAAGGACATTAGTGAACCAGATGGGTTCTTCTGACAATCGGCATTTGGATTCATGGTCATCATTAGACTTTTAATTCCAGACTTTTGTTATTATTGAAATCCTTTATTTCCTTTGCTGGTGTTAAGGAAAGCAGCCGTTCAAGCAGATACTAGCTCTTCAAGGGAAATTAGGAATGGGCAATAGATGTTGGCCTAGCCAACAACATCCACATCCCATGAAAAAGTGCATTGAAAAATGAAGATGAACTCCACTTTAGAACAGACTCGATCCTGTATATGATTTCAGGATCAATTAGCAACAAGGTTGAAGTGGAATACTCGCATAGGTACTTCATTTAACACATTTCACCTTATACTACTGCATTCGAGTCACAACACAAAGTGGTATGAAGCAGCCACTAAACCAAGCTATTAAATCACCTACCTTCACAGTCCAACAGCAATATTGCCATGCACAGGCATGGAGGGGGGCCACAGGCTTTTTCAGACTAAAAACAGGCATGAGTCCAAAACACTCACCTTAACTGATGGTGTCAAGAATATTAGTGTGATCAGATAAGCAAACAGGGACAGCTACATAGTAGATAATATAAGATAAGAAATGAAAAAAATTAGCATGGTGTGTCATTCTCAAAAATAAATCAATTGTCTCCGGAAAGGGCTCCAAAATTTAACCGAAGAATATTTTCTGAAATGTGTCAAATACAGTGTGTCAGAGATACAAATGAATTAATCTGGGAAGATATCGGAAATAAAAAGAAGTTACATTCATTACACTCCCAAGATATTCCACAACATTTCAGAACCAATCAATTACTTTTGAACAGCAATCGCTGTTATACTGTACAGGGTAGTCAACCAAGTCAACCAATTAATACCCCCTCAGACTACTTCCATCCATCAGCGAAGCAATGGATGGGGTTACCAACAGAGCCATCAAGTGATGTTTACTACCAATGGTCAATACTGCCGTGACTATTCAGTTCCAGTGCACATTAAAGCCTTACTCCAAATATAAACAAAGAGCTGAATTTTAGAGATGAAGTCACTGACATCAAGGCATTATTTGACTGAATGTTACATCCAAAATCCATGAATATATTTTAAATGTTGTTTGTACTTTTCACTTTGCCAATATGTTATCTTAGAAAGTTATGTTTCCTACGTGTCCTTACACGCAAATTCCAACTATGAAATAAATGAACTAAGGCAAATAGGCTAAGTCTATGGATCAAGTTACACAGCAAGGGACCAGTTTTCAGAGAAAGGGACTGAAAAATTGGAATGAACAACCAAGTTGTGATAAAGCCCATCAGCAAATCAGTTACATTTCAATTGTACAGCAAAGGAAGAATAAGCATAAGGTGATAGATCTGGTTAGGTCTAAGAGGACAAGGTGATTACATTGTACCAATCAGAAGGAAAAACAAGACTCAGACATAGCAGCCATCTCACCAATGACATTAGGGACCATGTTGACTTTCTCCACAGAACAGCTAACCTGTTTCATCCACAAAATCTGGCAGTCCCATCAGCTAGTTCTGTCCGGCTATTTTTATTCCATAAAAGCTGACGAATCTATGTGTTGTGAAATGGTCTTTAAATGTTCATTTCTTCTGTTAAATGTGCATAATTATCTTAGAAACTAGCTAGACGTTCTATTTGGATGTAACCAAATTCAGCTGTCACTCATTCACAAATCACCCCATGATTGGGACATCTTCCTGCTTAAACAAAAGTCAAATGACCTATGCATACCAAAACTCAGGTTAATCCAATATTGCATAAGCATAAATATAAGTTTGAGATAGGGAAGCATTAATTGCTCTTTGGAGATCATATATTTGCCTGAGGTTAACAAGGAATTTCAATACCACAGCATGATGCAAATTCAAGCAGTTGCTGAAATTACATCAAAGGGTAAAAGAGTTGTCATGGTTGAAAAGATAGATATTTGATCAGTGTTTTCAAAAGACCCCTGCTGAATTCTGAGTGTCTCAATCCATGAATGTGTAAAGACTTCAGCTATTCAAGTGTGTGGCAAATTTTATTCTTTTTAAAAAGGGAGGAGGAGAACATGAAGATGTTCACACTGGTAGTATTAGTTTGCAATTTGTTCCAATCAGATGCTGCCCTCTACTGCTCATGTCCAGTGAACGCCAGCCAAAATAGCCTAAAATGTTCTCTGCTTGTCAAATCTCACAGTCAAATTATGAGACACTTGCATACTCTGTGAAGCAATTAGTGATCTTAAGCTATTGTTTTATAGTAATTATAGTATACTGACCAATACTGATAGTATTTTAGCACTGCTGTTATTGGCTATGGTGGTTGGACAGTGCTCTCCATTGTTGTCAAGTGGAGAAGGCTATGCACAACATGTACTCAAAAACAGCTACTGGGATTCAGCAACATTTTCTGGTAAAAAGGGAGTATTTGATGATGGCTCCACTTCACTCTTGAAGTAGTACAAATATTGGCGCATCCACAAATTCTTCGGAAAAGGAACTACAGTCTAAAGTACTTTCTTTTCAGAACATGGATTCAGTTGGCTCAAAAGATTAGAGATGAAATTTGAAAAACTCAAATATTAAAGACATGATTTGTAAGCTAGATTTTGCTCTTTACAGGTACAAGCACATGCATGCATAAGTACATATGTGCATGGTTTCTATCAGTGGTACACTCAATACAATCAACAAAAGAAAACTGTTTGCATTATTTAGTAACAAAACTAGCAACATAATCTTAACAGTATTGGCAATTGTTTCATTAATTGCAATTCTCAAATCACTTACTTGATTACAGAAATTGACCATAACAGACTTAAAACAAAAAATAAATTTAGATCTTGTTTGAATCATGAAGCAAATAAACTGAGTAAAATATCTTCAACCTAAGATTATATTTCAGTTCTTTTTTTCCTTAATGCTTCACTGGGTGACTCCCTCCAGGTACAAATATCAAAGGAAGGTCAGTGCTGGTGGAGCAGCTCAAAGTGGTACTGTGGCCATCCATAATCAGACCATTAACAACATACTGAAAACCTGTCCTGAGATCTATTGCTGGTGGCATCACAACTGTTGACTCTGTGCCAACTGAAGCAGCGAATGAATTGCTAATTTCAATATCAAACTGTAACTGCTTCTCCAGACATACGAATAATGTATAAATTCAGTGCAGAAATAGATTTTGCCCTTTCTATATTGTATTTGTACCCAGCAGCAGAGAAAGTATATTTTATTACACCAAATTTATAAAAACAAACTTCTGCTACACAACACCTCTATATATGATATGAATTTCTATTAAATGAACAAACCATTTTGAGAATTTAAATATTCTTGCAAAGTAAGTACTCAATGTCGAATAAAAATGAACAATTTGTCCAACGTATCCAATGGAGCAAAGTCAATGCCTTGGAAAACATACCTCCTCATCCTTCAAGTTAACATCCACATTCTTGGATACAAGGGCTTTTAAAATATGATCAATATTGTTCTCTCTACAATGATCAAATATGGTTTTGTCTTCGTCCCTGTAAAAGATGAAATATTTTCATACCAGTTACAATGAAGCTCAAAAGGAACTGCAAAATGGATACAAAAGTATTGAGATGAAACACAGCCATCTTCTCATTTAGTTGTATAAACACCGAAGGCATTTAACTCCCATTTTCTCCCAATGAATGTAAAATATTCACCTGATTTTCAGTCTCTGCTTCATAAATATTCCACAAAAATTGAGTTAAATGGACTTATAAGGCACCTAACTTCTCTGCACATCATTAAAATAAAACAAAGAACTGTGGAATAAAATAAAGAACTGAGGATGCTGGAAATCTGAAACAAAAGCAGAAACTGCCTTAGAAACTCAACAGGTCTGGCAGCATCTGTAGAGAAAAAAATGTTTGGAGTTCAGTGACCCTTCTTCAGAACATTCTGAAGCTTCCAACGACATGTGTCATTTTGTTTCCCCTGTTCTGCAGTCAAAAGTTTTAGTTCCTGGCTCAACAGTTAACCATTAAAATGGGGAGGCAGTTGACATGTGAATTTTGTCAGCTGTTACACACAAACTTAAGTTCCTTTCATCCATTTACTGCTGCCTTTATGTTGTCTAAAATAAGAAATGGCACATCAAATTGGGGCTTCAAGATGTGCCACAGATTGGTAGGACACAAGGCAATACCAAGACCTTCATGAACCAAATTATAACCCTAATATGATACACTGGCAGGAAGGGCATTGTCTAAAGAACAATGATCAGAAGCAGTCACATTTTTTCCCCCATTTGCTTTTGGGATATTTACTGCACCTAGTGACCCCAAGAGGGCAGGGAACTAAAAAGGTCTATGAATTAATTTGTTAGATCTTGCAGAGGTCACTAAAATTCAGTCACGTAAAATTGGACAGGAGTGGGCTGCTTGGTTTCATTCCCTCAGAGTTAACGAAGAAACCAAGGGCACTGTTGCTAAGTTTGCAGACAACACAAACATAGCGGAGGGATAGTTAGAGTGACGAGGGGGGCCAAGCTACAGAAGGACTTGGACAGGCTAGGAGAGTGGGCAGAGAAGTGGTGGATGGAATACATAGTGGGCAAAGTATGAAGTTATTCACTTTGGTAGGAACAGTGGAAGTGTAAACTATGTTCTAAATGGGGAAAGGCTTCAGAAATGTAAAGCACAAAGGAACTTAGGAGCCCTACTTTACACTTCTCTTAAAGTTAACATCTAGATTCAGTTGCAATGTTGGCATTCATTCCAAGAGACCTAGAGTACAAGACCAGAGAGGTTGTAAGAGGCTCTAGTCAGACCACATTTGGAATATTGAGAGCAGTTTTGGATTCTGTACCTAAGGATGGATATGTTGGCCTATGAGGGGAATGAAGAGCTTACTATATAAGATGCATCGGAGGACTCTGGATCTGTACTTGAACTCGATGGAGTTTAGAAGGATGCTTGGCGGGGTTTCTGATTGAAACGTACAAAACACTGAAGGGCCTGGACAGAGTCAACATGGTGAAGCTGTTTCTGTGAGTAGGAGAGACTAGGACCGAGGGCACAGCCTCAGAATTTAGATCAGAGATGAGGAGGAATTTCTTCAGCTGGAGGGTAGTGAATCTGTGAAACTCATTGCTGCGGAAGGCTGTGAAGACCAAGTCATTGAGTGTGTTTAAGACAGAGATAGATTGGCTCATGATTAGTAGAGAGATCAAAGGTTACAGGGAGAAGGCAGGAGAATGGGGTTGAGAAACATATCAGCCAAGACTAAACAGCAGAATGAACTTATCAGGCCAAATAGCCTAATGCTGCTCCTATATCTTAACCACCTCCAACAATCTAGAAAATTTCTTGATCATGCTTTTCCACTGAGTACTAGCAGCAAGTTCCTAGATTTATTAAATTCAATTTAAAAACTTATCATGGTAAGGATCCAAACACTCACTAAAGTACTGTTATACCCTTCACATGAATCACACAGTGGGCTACTTTCACAAAAATATTTTAATTGCTATTTTACATTTCACCTTCTGGTGCCTTCAATCAATACTGTTTTATACTGTTGCCAGATAGTCGACTGATTGTTGGGGATGGATGGATTTGAAGAGACATCTCTTCAAGGAAGTGAGAAAGTTTGGCATTAACCTGTTGCAGTATTACCTACAATGGAATTAAATAAACTGAACACATTGCTTTAAATTTTGGTATTTAATATAACTAATCCATACAATCGTGTGAAAAATGGATTTGACCTCACAATTAGTAGATTGCTGCAATGCAACTTTTCAAAGTGCTCTATTTCCTATTTGAGTTCTACCTTAATGTCACATGCTTCACAATACATCACATAATTCATTTCCTGTAAAATTCTTCTTTCCAAATTAAGTTGCAATGTGCATAAATTTCTCTATTCGGTACCACAGTTACATATATTTTGTTACGTTTCAATGGTAATATATAAATGCTATACTGTCAAAATATCCAAATTCCGATCCTGTAATGTGACAGGGTTGCAGAGACTTTTGGAAAGCATCCTGTAACTGAATAGAATACACACAATTGTATACACGCAGCGCTGTATTACTGGAAAATATTTAAGGGAAAAGATCTATAGATGTTGTAATGAAATACTGGAGTAAACAAGAGACTACTTGCTACCAACATAATGCTGCTGAAAGATAACACATGAGTGGAGCATGTTCAAGAGTAAGTCCACGTGGGATTCCGGCAACAGTTATTGTTTATATTGAGATGTCCTCTGGGAGAAATTTTCACTTAATCTATAATTATCTTTGCACTTTAATCACTTCCCTACTTCAGAGGGTGCAGTGCACAAGCTGCAAGAAAGCTCATTAACTCAGTACATCTCTTCTCCCCTGTCACCGCCACTGTTTAATTGCAATGTGTGACTATTATCTATTGCCACAACTGTGATATTTTTCATAATAAAAGTGGAGGGGGGTGTAGTGGGTCTCTGAGGCACCAGCCGCAGCCAATTCACAGATTTTTAATTATTTTGTGGCCAGATGCTTCTTGCAAGTTGAATAAATTGGTAACTAAGCTTATTCCCTCTTGCACCCAGATGTCAAGTCCTGGAAAAGGGGTGGGAGGGGCAGAGGAGCACAGCGGTGTTTGACATTCTGTATAATGTATGAATAGCCCTCGACCCTGATGATAAATCAGGATTATCTGCCAGCAGTTCATCTGTCTACCAGAGTGACGAGTCAGCCCATCAACAAGACGCAGTGGGCATTAGTCTCAGAGCCCACATGTCTGCAGGTGTCACTGGTAAAATAGCAAGATGTCCTGTTAGGTTACAAAACATTTAGCAGTCATAAGACAGTGGAAAGATTAAAGGCTTGAGGAGTTTAAACTTTTGCCTTTTCACATGCCAACAGCTCTATCAGGGTTCCAAGTATATTAGTGCACAAAATTAGATAAGAATTTAATGCTGTGGGGAAACGTCATTTGTTCTTTTCCCTATATTTTGATACATTAAGAAATATATATTTCTCTCCCATAGCATACAACAAAAGGGACCAAATGCATTACTGCAAGTATCTGTAATAGCAGTTCCTAACTTATTTTGTTTTAAATATTTTCAAGCGATAGTTAAAGTAGCTGTCACCCAAATAGAAATTTTCACCGTACAACAGTGCAGCACAGTTTACTGAGATAAGTCCTTTGACCCAACTGGTCAATGCCTGTATTTATGCTTCAGAAAAATTTCCTCCTACCTATATCACCTAACCACATCAGCATATCATTCTATTCTTCTCTTGTATGTACTTAGCTTACTTCCCTTAAAGAGGTTCATGCTACTCATAGCAACTACTTAATTATATCTGATCAAACACTTTCATAAGTTAAAGTGATCTGCCACATCACCTCTCAATACTATCTCTCTTAAAGGGCTCTGGCTGAGAAGTCTTTCCAAATTGTTGTACCCACTCAGTTCTTCCATCACCCTCGTAAATACTTTTGCACTCTCCAGTGAGCAATAATTGTTTTTGCAATACCGAGACACAAAGTGTGGTCTAAACAGGATTCAGAACAATTTTATTGTAAAACTCTCCAAGTCATGCTCTATAATACTGTCAAACATTTTCATTGTGCTCTCCCTCAACAATTTTCTGGATCGTCTTTTCCCTCTAACAGTATTGACACCTTGCTGTGATGCACCACCTCTGTCACTGTTTCAAGATTATTTTTATTCATCCTACAACCCTGACAGTCAATGACAGAAAGCTCCAAGTGAAGGCATCCCTCAGCCTTGCCTAAAGTTCTCATTTTGCATTTCGAATAGAGACTGATGGAAAGGAATCATGAGCTCAGTATTTAACCAATTTTCCTCTAATAGATTGAATTTAGGTCAATCTCAGTCCTCCCTCTTTAACACTTAGCTGAGATCAGCTCATCCAGCGCCTACATTTGGTGAAACATGTGGCCCCCTACCTCTGAGCCGGAAGTCCTGAGTCAAGTCCCAATTGCTCAAGAGGTATGTCATATCACCTCTGAGCAGGTTGATTACAAAAAATCTAAAACATGAGAATTTGCACAGCTCAGCAGTTCGCTGAATAAACCCAACGGAACATTGGGATAACCATGCAGAGGTTTCAAATCACGAGATAGATGGTTACTGGTCACTCATGCCAGTAGAGTGATTGTGATAAAGCGATAATAATGCCCATCACCAAACAAAACATTGTTTTGTAAACTCGTTTATAAGGTTTCCTGTAGCACCGCAATCCTTCCTCATGTTCACTGTTTAGATCATAACACCAGGACCTTCAAAACTTTCATTTGGTGGTGAGGCTATCTTCTAATCATTAAACTGTCTCTGGCTCACAGGGTATAATTATTATTAGTTTGATAATGTTAACATGTGCCATGCTGGTTGTAGGATGCTTGGAACGAGATTCCAAAATTTAAAGAAAACTCAAAAACATCCAAAAGCCAAGAACACTTTACCAACCTCAGACCATGAACAATGCTCTACATTTTGATTTCTGATTCAACACTATCCTCCTCCTCCTCCT